GCTTTGTTCTTTGTATTCTTCGCATGTTTCAAAACTTATATGTCTTAACGTAAGAAATATCTAAAACTGAAAACCATTTCAAAACAGAATCCAATCTAGAGGCAGAATCTATGTGCATCCCAATAAAATACTAATCAACTAAAACCCACTAAAAGTGATTCTATTGGTCAAGCATCATGTCAATCAACACAAATATTTACCTTTAAGAAACATTGGGGAGGTCAAAAAAGAGCATGTTGAGGCAGTTATTACAGACATTCTGCAATAAACACATTTTAAACACTGAAGGCCAGACATGGGGAAGGATTTGATACACTCCTGGCTTGATGACAAGAGGAAGGATTTGATACACATTGGGTTTGACGTTCCTTAAACAATCTGTGTGTGGCTCAGCAGCCGAGGACAATAACTCTACAAAAGGAGGTCACCAGAGATGTCCTTTTTTTCTAGAAAGAGTTGGTTATTTGTGTGGCGTCTCAAGCCTTCTGTTTGTCCAGCTCCCCAAGAGAGGATGTTTCCTGCCTGTGTTTTCAGTGAGACACGACGATGTCTTCATTGAGAGAAGCAGCAGGTCACAGACCAGCAGCAGTCCAGCCTGAGATAGGGAGTTAAATAACATCCCTAAGACCCAAACTGGGACAGATTGTCTGGATCTCGTCCAGGCTGAATTTTTATTGTTCTTCCAAACGCCATAGAGATAGAAGAAGAAGTTTGCAGCCCGACCTTTCACTCAGGATACATATCCTCTGCCTGCCCTCTGTCCAGGGAAAAGGCCAGATTAAAGTGCGTCTGTTTGTCTTGCAGCACAACAGACTCCAAAAGATGGATAGCCAAACCTCCAGGCCCCTTATGCTTGAGGCCAAACAACTTGATGAACAGGGAGAAACATCCTCCACCCAGCTGACCAGCCCCAGGCCTCCTTTCGGTGATCCATTAGAAGGGGAAACACGTATGGAGCGCATGCTGCCTGCTCAGCTTGGGACTCCTCTTGATATGCCCAGAGGCCTCGCATTCAAAGCCACAAAGCAGCTGCTAGAACAGCTCGGCCAGAAACGGTTCCATACTGACAGTGATCACCTGATCTACAACCTGATCGTTCCAGTCAGGAAAACTAGGAATGGCACAAATTTGGGAGAGCATGAGCAAATGTGCCGGGCTAACACTGCATTGAGGTTCATCTAAAGCTGGACATTTTATGACCAGTACCTTTATCTTGGTAGCATCATCATACCTCAGCTACTCCTGGGGGAAAACCTGAAGCTACCTAACCTGCAGGATGAGTTAAGAGTCACCTGTGGTTCAATCAGGTAGTTTTATACACCACCTTTTTAACTGACTAACATTTTGATCACATCCTTAATTCTTAACGACATCTCCTGACACCAAATTTTAAGATATAAACGTTTGGCTTTGAGCATTGTAATCAAACTACTCGTTAAAGAAGTATTGTAATATTAACATGCACTTCAGGGCTTCACTCACTGTTGGTTTTCTTGCATCAATACATATTCAACTCTAAGCACAGAGGACTGCAGTAGCTAATGATAAAAATGCATGGCTTACAAAAATACTGGCAACTAAAACTAGTCCTGTCTAGAGCAAATGCTCTTTTCTTGCAGGTCATTTGATAACAATGAATGTGTCCTTCATGTCTGAATGTTTTTTTATACACTCAAAAACATATTTTTACAAATAAGGGCAAGCATCGTTCATAGCTGAGTCACACGAAAGATAATCCAATCTAATCTAAAGTGATTGGATAACAAATCAATATTCTTACAACTTTTTGAATTTGTTGACATAGCAGTGCGTGGGTGCATAAAACGGCAGCATTTCCACATAGAGTGGGGCCTTAATCTTTCAGGCAGACATCTCTTGAACCGTTATTTGGAGCTGGATTTTGCACGGTTGGCCTGTTGCCCGAGGCAGTGTGCGCCCTTTCCATCCCGACAACAGGCTGCTTTCAAAGGGTGTCCGGAAATATAGAAATATCTGACGCCCATATCTCCTGCTTCCGGAGTCCTTAATGCCAGAGAGCAGACACGCCAAAACAAATGCTCCACATTGGCTCCCAAACACAGCTTTGTTTCTATCAAGAGCAGTTTTCATCATGTTCCCGGCTTTCTAAATGTCACCGGTGCCACTGACACTACACAGCTCAAAGTCACAGTAAGAAACAGTGCTTTATTAAAAGCAGACACATCCGACACAAAACACATTTCCTCAGATTGAATGAAAATAATAATACCAAAAGACAAGGAAGCAGTTACAATGCTACCCTTTATGTGGTTATTTTTTTTTTTTAATGGAAATTGTCACTGAGAGGATGCCACACAGGGAGTGTGATAAAGTGTCACTTATGAGGAGAAATGATAGTGTGAACTCAATAGTTCACAGCTTCTTTTGAAAGTATCTGTCTCTCCTAAAGTCACTGATTTATCATAAATGGACTGATGGTAGGTGACAGCTCAGCACGCCGCTGGTGTCACCTGAATTTCAAAGATGAGAACATCTCAATTCTTTGGAAGAATTTAAATACAACTGACGGATATTTGCAGCTTATCCTCTAAGTTTCATACGTTAAAATGAGTCTAAAAAGTCACACACTGTAGCATAAAACTTATTGTTAAATGTGTCGCTCATTGAGGATGAATTTATTCCCTAAAGCTATTGACTGGGCTTTCTAAGAAGAAGTTTGGGTAACATTTTCTATGACGCCCATGTATATAATGCATTATTAACATCCTTATGATGTGTGATCTGCTTATGGCACTGAATAATTATAGTTATAAGCACTCATAAACATTCATAATGCTATTAAGTGCTATAAGTAGATTATAAATCATTTTAAGTATGTTTATAGTGCATTACAGACATGGGCGTCACAGAAAGTGTTAGACGTTTGGTTTATTGTTACAACAGGGATCAAGCTGAAGGCTCAGTCAGTCTCCAAGCCAAAGCAACATATCCCAGAGGTGGGTTTTGGCTTTTTTGTTTTTGTTTAAGTCCAGCCATTTCATACATTGAGTTAAATTAGAACTTAAGGTTTGCAATTAATTGGCAGAATGAAAAAGATGTAATCATTTCAAGCTGTTTGCGGTAAACTTTTCATGCACCCCAGATAGGCGACCTCTACTAACTCTAGAATACACTGCAGGGGTGATGTGAGTTCAGACATAAACTGAGCAAGTTCAGCTCTCGATACAACAGAAATAATCGCGTTCAGCTGTGCAGCACATCAACCCTCGTGTTTGGTTGCCAGCGCTATTTATTAACAAGGACCTGAGAAAACACAAATAAATCCGGGCGGTTTAAATCAAATCATTTAATTCTGGACCACACTTTTTTTCCGCCTCTCTACTGATGCCGGCTGTGTTTGAACAACTGGATTTCATCAGCGGCATGCAGCCAATCTGCCAGCAGCTTCAGACGAAAAACTCTCACTTAATGTCAGCACAGCAGGTTGAGTTCTGGCTCGGGCGCACTGATCCGCAGAGCAAACTCCGCTCAACAACACACACATCCCCTTCAAAATCCACGTCCTATTTGTGATCCGTCTTGTCAAACACGCATGGTATAAAGTAGCTTCTATTTTTGACTTATCACAGAAGTGTGTGAGAATCCGCAGATGATGAAAATTCTGCCCTTGCCAGTAATTAAACCTTGTTATCCAGACTTGCTGTAAGTGCTGAGAGTAAATTCTGACAGTTTGGTGTTTGGAATGCAGGGAGGTTTGTTTGAGTAAAGTCGTTCCATCGTGCGCAAGCAAGCTCATTAGAAAGACCTAAATCACACCTCTCCGTCGTCACCGTTTGTTCCTCTTGGCCCCGGGGTTTGAGCTCGACTGTGGACTTTACATTTAATGCTATTGGACACCGATGACAGCCATGCTGGATGAGAATCATATGCAAGGTGTTTTTCCACTGTAGCTTATCAAAGGGGGGAAAGTTTGGTTCCCATTTTAGAGATGAAATGGGTTTTTTTTACTGTAAGGGAACATAATTCCCTGCTATAAATGGAGCTGGTGAAAATTTGACAATCTGCAAGTCAGCTTTGCAAAATCCCCACCTGTGCAGAGCAGGAATGTTATTCGACAGAAAGACTGTGCAGTGTGGTTTCCTATCAAAATATTTTCAGAGTAGGTAAGCCATAAAATTGCGGTGCGCTGGTGTTGAAAGCTTTGTACCACAGTCTGCAGGTGGAATTTACATATATTAAGTCTTGAAAACAAGTGAGATTAATGGCTGACTCTGACATAAAAACCCCATCCTCTCTTTGCTTCCCTCTCCCTTTTTTTCTCTCTATCACACAGACAGCTCCTGCTTGTTCCTGATTGCTCATGTGTGGCAGCAGAGCTGGATGGAAAACATATTGCTCCATCAATCACATCCCATTCTTCTCGGCAACACGTTCGACTCGCAGGTTGTCTGAGACCGAGGCTGCACATACAGTCAGCCCTTGTGTAAAAATGCAAAGATGACAAATATTCCTCCGAACAGATGCAGAGCTCTGTCAAACTGTGCCTATTCAGATAACCGGATTTCTTTCAAATGATGTTCCCCCTCCTTCCCAGTCCCTTGACTGACTCTGTGTTGACAGTATCTTAATATACAGAGCGAGGAGTGTGTGCTGTGTTCAAACAAAGCCTCCTTCTCCCCTGTGCTATGCCAATAGATCAAATGAACAGACAGAGGGAGAAGAAGGGGGAAGATGTCGCTTTTCATCAATGTCTGGCTGATGTATTCAAGAGTTCCTATCTTTTAAGTCTTTGTTTCAGCACACGAAAAGACCAAAGCACGGAGAGCACTGCCGTGCCCGCACTAGCAGTGCGAGACAGAAGGGTTTCCTGCTTCCTTTTGCCTGGCTGCTATGTGTGACACACAACTTGGCCACAGCCCCATTTGTAGCCCCTGGGCAGTGCATGTGTCACCCATTTGTACTGCGCAAAGCACTCAGTTCAGAGCGAAGGCCAAGTATGAATGGGGGGGGGGAACACTTACTCGTTTTTCTCCAGAGCCAAGAGCAGCTGCTCACCTTCCGCTTCAATCAGGAGCTTCAGCGATGCAGGGTGTCTCTGAAGAGAGTACAGACAGGAGAGGGGATGAGACGGATTGTTTGTGGAGCATTTTGATTGACAAAAGATGGCTCTGGTTCTCTGGTAGCTAGCATGCTTTCAATTTAAGAAAATATATGTAATGGCTGCTGTGTGTGGCAATAAAATAAAAAAACAAAACAGGAAATAGTTCTTAAAATGCTTAATTACAATCTGATGAAACTTTCACTGAGCCACCCAGCGCTGTGAGAAAAGAACGCCAGGAGGCTCTTTTCAATTGAGCGCTCTGATATCCTTATGAAGCGACTTTGTATCTCAGAACAAGAGCTGAGAGGATTAACTTTATGTTTATATTCCTTTTGACATTAATCCTGCAGAAAAGCCACAAGTCTTCGCAACCCTGTGCCGCGAGTGTCTGTTGGAGTCAGATGAAGTGGCACCGGCTCGTACATCACTTCTGTCAGTCACGCTGCGCAAACACCCACACACACACACACACACACACACACACACACACACACACACACACACTCCTCCACATATCAACACATAACCGCCCTCCTCTCGTGTGCTGCCTGTGCTCCCGCTCAGAAACACCAACAAAAAAAAATTCATCTGTCTCGCATTCTCCTTCGCTTGGCAACAACACACACAAACACATTTCACACACACACACACACACACACACACACACACACGTAGTTCAATCTGGGTCAACTGTGGCAAAGAGCGCCGCTCTGGGTTAAGTCATCCATCATCCCCCGTGGAGAAGAATGTCTAGTGGATCATAAGAGGATATGGAAGCAGAACACTTAAGGTTTGAGGCAGTATCATTGCACAAGTCATGTGGGACTAAACTTTCTGCTATCTTCTGTTCAGACAGCGTTCGACGCGCACGCTTTGACCTCCCTCACGCTGCATAATGTTTATGACGGCTGCCATTTCTAACTTCAGGGAAAACATAGATAGTACACCGGATGTTTTGGGTTGTTGTTAAGGGAGTGATGTATTCAACTCAGCACTTAATTTCACCTTCATAATGAGTACTCTTTCCTTCGCAGAGCTGAAGTTTTGTTTTGTTTTTCGGGTAATAACATCCCAAAGAAACCTTGTGGCACCATGTCTGTTTGGTTAAGCCAGAACAAATTAATTCACTAAAGAATTGACTCAAATAACACAACCTGGAAACTCAAGCTGTGCTTTTAAAATCTGCCTGGCAGCCATGTATTTTGTTTCTATAAAGTCTGGGATTATAACACCAAACAGAGCCAAGGATCCCAGGTTTCAAACCGGTGGGTTGTGTGAAGTGTCTAAGATGCAGATATTGTGCAGCTGCTTGAAATGTACTGAACTCAACACAGAGGGGCAATGACTGCTTACATGTAATGTAAAGATTTAATCCGTATGTTTGAGTAAACAAATTGGCCCTGGTAGATTACTTTGTAACGTGAACGTTGTATTTCTACTGCAGACCTTGTGATCGTCGCAATGAAAGCGAAAATAGTTTCTGCTGTTGTACCTTTCCAGAGTTATAAAATGACGCCCCCCCCCCCCCCCCACCAATGCAACCCCCTGTGATGTTTTAAAACAGGACTGTTTTCGGTCTGAATCGCCTACTAATTTTGTCCTGCGGGTGGTGGAAGACTAATAGCCAAAGGGTCATTGAAATCAAAATGCTTTATGTGAATAACAAACTGGCAATCTGCCTGTCGGGTTATGAAATACAGTATTATTGGTCTGATGGTGGTGAAAGAAAGATGGTGGTGTAATTTTCATCACACTATCCTCAGTTATCTGGACCAGTGTAGGATATACAACTGGAAGTCTAAAAAGAATAAGCAGAGCGAAAATGTAAAAACAAAAAGGCGTTTCATTCCATCAACTATTCCTCACCTGGGATTTGAGCTGGCTGGTCGGTTTCCAGTCTTGTCCAACAAGCTGGAGTGGTACTGTGGTCCCATAGTGTTTCTGCTTCGCTGTTGGTCTGTGTTGAACAGTCATGCTCAAAAGATTCCCTGCAAAGAAAATAAACACACCATGTGAGAATACACAGAACACTTCAAAGTGAGCGTGCTTCATTCTAAAGTCTATCAGTGTCTATAAAACCAGTTGCGGAAGCAAACAATGGGAACAGATTTTTCGACAAACAACACCGATGAGTAATTCCTCCCGGCTATTAAAGGCCTGAGCCTGGTGTTCATTACCGACATCAGAACACAACCTGACAGTACAGCAGCCTTTTAATATGAAGTGGCACTAAAACAAAAATCACAGTACTTGAATTTGATGGCTTTTCTGCGTCACGGCACACAAATGGTGTTATTTCTCATACCTAACAATTATCTACGCTGACAGAATGCCATCTCCGATACGTCCTCGCCCTTCCTGAACACATGTTCACCTCCTTTTCATGGGCTGTCAGTAGAATGGAGCCTGTCTCCTCTGCCATTAAGACATGAACACAACAGCACTAATCAGCACCCTCAGACATCCAGCAATGAGAACCGGAGCCCGTGGTGAAACCGTAACCGCCCCCCCCTCTGCCCCTCCAGCTGCATAAATCTCCACTGTTCAGCATGAAGAGTTTCTGAGCGAGGAACTGGGGTTGCTGCTGCTGCTGCTGCTGTGATAACTCGCAGGGCTAGTGTCCAGGATGCGGTGCAGGGATTAGACGTAGTTTTGGGGCATTGCTCCCAGCATGCTTTTATCTCCCCTCTCTGTGTTCTGACAGGGTGTTAACTGAGCCTCAGAGAGGCTACAGTTCTTGGAGTTCTACTGTCTTTGCCAGTCATTTAAAAATATATATTCGTGCCCAAAATCCAAACACTGATGTCGCCAAGCGTGCAGCCAGGAGATGAAGTGGCAGAAAAACAGCCACCATCCCAAAGAAACCTACTAGTTATAACTGAAAAAAGAAGTTGCAATGGCTTCAAAGAGTGCATCATGAGCACACACGGAGTCTGAATACAATGCATAGTGAGCCACTGGAGGACATCACTAATAGGGTTCCTGCAGTAATCAGCTCCCCACAGCGGGGAAGCTATTCCAAAGCTTGAGTCTCTTACTGAAACAGCAGGGGGCTAGCACCATTTGTCTGTGCGCAAACATCCTAAATCAAATGTTTGCCTTTATTTTGTTTTTCTTCCACTGATGCTCCATCGAGCGTTTCCAAACAGCAGGGAAACAGATTTAGTTTGAGGGTGATGTCAGTGGACTTGTGAGAAGTTGTGCGTGTGGTCTGAGGATAATTGATGGTGTGTTTTGAACTTGGGACTTTGTTACTTCTTAATTTTCAATCGCATTTCAAACCCATATAAACACAAAACCCACTGAAGGGGACCGAGATTATTATTACCAGCGGATTCAAGGTCCTTCCTTTCGAGGTTCACATTACTTCTGTCTCCCTACGCATGACTCACCCAGCTAAATTGCTGAGTCTGCTTATTATCCGGCATTAATAACCCAGGTCGGAGGCAGACCCCCCCCCCCCCCCCCCATGCTGAGCTTTGTTCTGGTTCTCCTCTGAGGAAACCGTCACTCTGGAGTTCTTCACAGACCCGCACCAGCTGATAGCAGAGAGTCAGAGGTGACCAGCTCAGCAGTCCTCATCCAGCTCCAGCCTGATGATGAGAAGCAGGCTCCGGCAAGGAGGGATCGGCATCACACACACACACACACACACACACACACACACACACACAGAAAAGCAGGAGAAGCATCCTACCCTCATTAGCCCTAGAAAAGCACACCGTCTGGGGGAGGTGGGCATGCTGAGTAAGGGAACGCATGACAACCGCTGTGAAAAGTACGGATAGATAAAACACAACACATGAGGGGAAAAACAGAGAGAAGTTGACAGAGAAAGGTCAAGTCCACATTGTGGTTAGGAAACACACACACACACACACACACACACGCAGATGGAAAGGCCTTTTCTGTGGCATGCTCCCCATCAACTTTGAAGACTTGGTTCACAAACATACAGCGTTTGGTTCCCTGACTTCAAAGTCCACAAGTGAATGACCATTTTGTTAATGTGGTGTGCTATGAGATTTAATTCCCGCTTATAAATGGCATTATATTAGTGGAAACAGCGTGCAGGCTCAGTCTTTTTCCCCCCACATGCTTGGGAGAGACATTTGGTAAAGCTGGAGTGTAGCTGCGGTGCCTGGAGTGTGTAAGTGGCTTTTGTTCTCTAGAATGTTATAAGCGCCACCAGAAGCATTAAGGGAGCGGTAAAAGTGGCACCAGAGCCCAAAGCCTTATTTATATGTTCAATATAGGAGAGTGTAAACAGAAGTCTTAATAGAGCAGAGTTCTGGCCATGTTCAGCTCCCTTTATGCTCCGGCATACACACAAGGAGAGTTTGTGCCATTTATATTGCCTCAATAAAGTCAAATGCTATAGGTGGGAGGATTGTGTGTGCGTGTACGTGGAATTGGGAATGTGAGTGTTTGTTCTTGTGTGGGTGACTGAAATGTGATTCAGACCTATGACTGGATTAAGTAATTCATTTGGCTTTCCCCAGCAGTGCTGTTAAGCAAAAGTAACAAAATCTATTATACACTCTGTATGTACAACCATTGTTTGGCTGTTTTAGTATCATACTCCCATAAAGCCTGGATTAAGTGATTTGGAACCTGGGGATTGGGATCAAGTAAATCTGTGTATTTGTGTGATGATTAACAAGATATAAAAAATAATAAACGTCACACACACAATCAGGTTTTTCTTAGTTCTCTCAAACCGTTATGCACTTTATACAAGATTGGGAGCACTTATATTGCCTCTCAACTGCTTTCATCCAGTTGTACCTCACGTCACATCTGGTTGCAAAAAAACAAGATGGCGACCGCCCAAATGCCAAAGTCGAGGCTTCCAAAGGGCAGTCCACAAACCAGTGGGTAAAGCCACGGTGATTCGTCCACTTCTTATATACAGTCTATGCTCTCAACATTGCGACGGCTTAGACGGCGGCTTGCAGCTAACGGTTCCAACAGCACTAACAGTGTGAACTACCGCAAGAGCTAACAGTGTTTACCTGAATGGGTGCTACACTTCCGGAGGTTATCCGCTGTATCTGCCGTATGAGTGCAGTGCAGAGCAAAGGCCGTGAGCTAACTATCGCGGTATGCTGGACTTAAGCATGCGCAGCCGGCCCCGGGAATGTCACCAACGAACAGAGGAGCTCGGGTAACAACACACACAGAGGGAGCGTGACTTCATGCTCTGCTCAGGTAGACATTACTCCACTATATCTTCACATAGCAAATAGTTTGTTTGCTGCCGTATCAATTCTCTGAATCCCTTATATTGCACCTCTGCTCTGCTGTTTTTTTTCTTCTTGTGAAATATTGGAGGATTTATCCTCTCCAGGAATAACAACTACTGCAATGAAAAAGGAACAGCTTTGTGTGAACTCCTCGCAGACGTATGGAACTTGTGATGAGGGGGAAGGCATTGCTTGGCCATAAAGGGTCACAAGAGAAAGGGATCGTAACTTGAGGTCTAGGTCAGTGATTGGCATTTTAGTTTGTGACCTCTTACATCGCCCATCCTCATAATCTGTAGGTCATGAGAAGACCAATCAAACTGAAAATTTGAAGAAAAATTGAGATGTTATTCGACACTATTACTATATTTATTTTACTTTTCAACCAAATTCTGGCCTGTTTCAGCCACAATATCTAACCGTGTAGACTAAATCAGTGCTTGCCGGGGTACTGTACCGCTCCTAATGGTATTTCACAGTGAATCTTTCCTTGGTTTTATCAGTGTTCCCAAAATGAGTGCATTCTCCACAGCCTGTGAGCTGCTGGTCCAAGGAAACATCTGACCTTCCTCGCTTCTTTGCAGATGTCAAGACGTCCTTTCTTACTGCCCTTTCGCAACTCCAGCCCTTCTCTTTTCCCGCCTCACCAAAACAAACCAACAACTGTTCGGCTTTATTAAGCCCCAGAGCCTGCTTCCTCGCGACCAACTGCAACGCACTCCTAATCACAGTCACCCTTGCCTTGCGCTGGAAAAGCACACAAGGACAACACTCCAAAGTGATGTTGAGAGCAATGCTCTCCGATCTTGAGAATGTCAGATTGGAAACGAAAAACAATGCCTTTGGCAGCTTGAACGACACTCTTTTGACTTGCAAAGTCGCCTGAATGGTACAAAAAACAAGTGCAGCGGAGACGTGATTCCAGCATTGTTTGACATGGGCAGACAATGTTTAGTTACTACTCAAACCCCCAGAAGGAAATGGGCTTGAAATAAGAGCATGTGGAACTAATTAGGTCAGAATGGTGAGTTTAAATTGGCCTGATTCAAGCCGAGGTATGACACAACAAAGACAAAAAAAAGGTAAGAAGGTTCCATGTAACATGTTCCATATGGAAATGTGTTCTTGATGAAGCAAATCTAATAACATGATCACTTTTTCTTCATCAAAAGCGTGTATCCAGATTTGATGGGTGTCTTTAATCAGAGCTCTGACTGGATTGGGGACATGATCCAGCAACGTTTTTGAGCCAAAAGTTGGTTCTGACATCAGCCCATGGGGGGAAACTTGGTTATTGTTTATGGCTATTGTTCATTTAATAATGGATGATTGACAGGTATAGCGCAAACTCAATTTATCCCCAATCAGAGTGGGCAAATTATGCTAATTCAAACAGAATGGTGCTTGGGAATAAAATGATGAATGATACATTGGGAGGAGGCAGACGCTCTTTTATAAATGACCTTGGAGACAAAAGCAATGAACTCCGCTGCCTTTCCTTATCTCTTTCTCTCCTTTATCATTGTCTAGGCCTGTGACGAATCATTATTATCATTATTGAATGCTTTTAATCCTTTTTTTTGATTAATTGATGAATCCGTTATTTAATAAACTTTGTGAAAAAATTGTGAAAATGCCCTTCTCAGGTTCCAAATGGCCCAGATGTATTCAAATTGCTTGTTTTGATCCAACAGTCTCAACCAAAAAGAATCAAATTCAACTCATCACTGCAGACACAATTATCAAAAGATAATTGGTTCGTTGATTCATACAGAATTAATCGTGAAATGTGAAAATTTCACTGGTTCCAAATTGCTATTTTTTTATAAAAAGTAATCTCCTTGGGACTGCAGATCCCACAAAGCAAGCAATTTCAGGACGTCACCTTGGGCTCTGGGGACGAGCATTTATCACTATTTTCTGACATTTTAAAAACTTAAAAATATCTGTTGCTCAGAGCCCTAGATTATATAAAACTGAGAAAAGCAGCAGATCCTCATATTTGGGAAGCAGGACTTCATGTTCTGTTGATGACCTCGTCAACTAATCTTCACCTTGCTACCCATAAATTGTTCACAGTGCAGGGTTCATGGGGATTACAGAGCAAAGGTGAAAGGTGCCTGCTAATCTTGGCCTGACTCCACAGTAAACATGTGACCCGTTTGCGGGACATTATGTCAACACCCTGAGGGTTGCACCAGGAAACATAGAAACCTATAGGTGACATCATGGTAATAGGAATCTGCACGAATTGGAGAGAGAGGGTCTCCTTAAATCAAATCTAATAAGGTAGCAGTGTGTCAAAAGTCACAGCTCTGAGAGTCGTTAATGGTTGGATTTCTAGACGGATCATTTCTTTTAGAGCATAGCTGAGGGTCATAATCAAGCCGTTTAACACTGGGCTCCCTCTACTGGTAAATAGCTCTTTTGTGTTCTCTCCCTTCCTGTCTCTCTACCCCCAACCTTGTATATTGAACCCATTTACTGTCACACTAGCATGATGTCAGTACATAATTACTCTATGGGAAATAGATGGTCCTGCAGCAAAAAAAAACCCCCCTTGGCCCAGCAGGAGGTTAATGTTGTCCGAGAACCGGTGCAGTTACGCCACCGGCGGGTGACACTGTAACGCTTGCCCCCGCTGTGAGGGCTGCGCTCGCTGCCTGGCATGGGGGCCTAGCGTGTGCCTTAGCAACAAAGGTCAGAGTCAGAGAGCTTCTGGAGCAGAGCTGTATGAAAGCTTGTTAATATGGTCGCTATGATGGATTTCATTTACAGCGTCCTGGAAGTCCTCTCTGTCACAGGCCTGGCGCACATTCAAAGCACTACAGAACTACAAAAACGAAACCTCAAGCCACAGCCAAAAGGCAGAGACGATGTCATCATTGTCAAGACATTGTACAGTATGCGGTGGCATCCATGTCATTACCTCAGTGGAGAGAGACAAACATTAAGGATTACACTCCATCAATTGATTAGCTGATCCGCAGAAAATCATGCAACACTAATTTTGATATTTCAATTGTGTTCGTTTAAGTCACTCATCAAGCAATATTTATACTATTTAAAATTGAATGTCTTTGACAAGCAACTTTAAGACATAGATATTATAATTAAAGAACTGCAATTTTCACCAGCTTTTGGAAAACCTGAAAAGAACTGACCCAAACATTTACCAATCTTAGAATAGTCAACTTTCTACTTGAAACTTTCGTCTTTATTTATAACTATGTGATGTGCTGCTCGCTCTGCCTCACTTAAAAATACATCACAAGTCCGCCCATGTTGAGGAACATAACACAAAGAGACGCAGACAAAGCAACTGGCTGAGGCAGAACTTTGTTTGAGCCAATTTGTTTGAATCCTCCCCAGGTATAGGAGCTGGCCTGTTTTGTTCCTGCTTGTCCTTTCTCATTGAAGAACAGGGACATGAAATATGGGGCGGATGCTGCATGCATGCCAGCCTGGAAAATAGATGATGTGGATCTGAGAGGAAAAAAACACCGCGTTTCAAGTCTCAGTGGAAGACAAAGACTGGACGTTCACATTGGAAGTCAAACTGGGGAATGTTTCCCTTAACATCTACAGTGTAAATTTTGTTAATCTGGAATTGTAATACCTGTTCTTGATTCACATTCTCTGCTCTCGTAGGATTGTTAAAAGGTAAATGCTGATGTGATTTTCAAGTCGCAAACAAAATGAACAAATGAACAAGATCAATGTGAAAAGTACAATGTCGACTTTGTCACAACAGACATTTTTTTAAATTGTCATAGCAGAAAAAAGCACAGGTGAAACCGCATTGGTAAAACTGTTAACATTAGAAATGGCTCAGTTCCATTAAGTCTGTTAAATACATTGAGTGAACCAGCACGCAGACTAGCAGCAAAAACCCTGAACCTGCTGATCTAAATGGAATCCAGTTGTTATTAGTTCTCCTTGTGGCCAGAGAAAGAGCTGACATTATATCATGTGTTATTCATATATGCTACAAATACAAGTTCTGCAAAATAGGACACAAGAGCTGACCGGAACAGGCTGATAAACTGTCAATGGTTTTGAAACATTGATGGGGTGGAACTTGAACTAACCCAGATAGGCTTGACACCGAAAAGAGATATCTGAGCCAACTGGGCACTCTCTCTGTCCAGACAGAGGAAGAAGACGCTCGGGGAGAGCTGTGCTGAGCTCAACTCTGACCCGACTGGGGTGTGAAAGTCTGATGAGAAAGTCCAGAGACAGCATCGGGTTTCAGCTTGTGTGTTAAGCTTTTGTGGAGGGGGGGGGGGGGTCAAATGAGTCCAAAGCAGCTCCGAAGAAATCAATGCACCACATGTAGGGTTAGGCCACATGAGCATAGTCCAGCTACCCCCCCCCCCCCTGTATAAATATCCCCACTGCGGAACAGCAACTGGTTAATCAATCTGTCTTAATGCACCACCACACATCGGCCAACTCTTCGTACCGGCCTCCTGGGTTTTAACCATCACGAACAACTTGTCTGGAAGATCTGATTCCATTCCTACTGAAAAGATCCTAAATGCGTCTGACTCGAGATGGGTCACATCACGGCGATAATGTCTCTCTGGGGGAGGACACTGTTTGGGGAAGGAATGTTTTACTACAGTCCAAAAATATATTCTCAGCTCAACTTTCATTTGTCTGAGCGTGCAGCACGCAAGCTCCAGGCAGACAGAGTCATGTCGCTTGGAGCAGGTAGGCTACAGCTGGCTATTTAATACTGGCTGACACTAAGTGTGTCAACCATCGGAGGAAGTCATTCACAAATGAGCCCCGGCTAGAACAGAAACACGCACAAGACAGGCAGGGCGAGGAGAACCGGCACGAAAGCTCAAGAGGCGGTGTCATGAAATATGTATGCAAACATGATGTTGCATGGAGCCGAACTGCTCCATCTTTCCTCAGCAGCCTCGAATTCCTGACAGCAAAGACAAGAGGTTTGCACAGACTGGGAGACAAAGTGGAGAGACCCATAAAAGGGAGCACTAATGATTCCCACTCATTGTGCATTTGACATGAAGTAAGCTGCAACTCATTATTTTCATCAATCGAACAATTTTGTCTGTGAAAAGTCCAAAAAAATGTGAAAAATTCCAATCACGAGTTCTGAAATCCCAAGGGGACATCTTCAAACTGCAGCCCAAAACATGTTCAGTTTGAATTTATATAAAGACAGAGGAGAAACATGATGATTGATGGATGATTAAAAATGTCGGCTGGTTCAGTTTTTGAACACAAAAGGCATTTTACGCCATTGATTGTATTTGTCTTTGTCTTTTAAATGAAAGCCCATCTTCCTGTGACACGGCTCCCTCCATCCATTCATCTCAATCAGGCTGAATTACCCACAAGCAGGTAAATATCCTGTCAACACACATCGGCTCAGACTTTCCAAATGCACTGACGACGACGATTTGAACCGAGCCGGAACCCACGAGAACCAAACCCATCAAGGCCAACTTCTGATGACGACAAACCGTTGATGAATACAGCTTCCTCGCGCTTTGATCCTGGTTTTACACATTTGCCCTTGCTGGTAATTAATTCCCAGGATTCCACAGTTGAGTGGCAGTGCAGGGGGGGGGCATAACGCTCAAGTGCAACTCCTCCACTCACCACTGTTTGGACATACTGTCCTTGTTGAATCTCACCTATAGGGCATGGAACGCTGGTGATGACTGGGATATCATGAGCCACAGCCCAAAGGGTTGCAACCACTGGGACAAAACACACGCAAGCACAGACACAAACACACTCTGACATCACATTTGGGAGCTCTCAAAATGTCATAAACATAATAAACAGCACAATGTACAGGTTTTTACAAACGCTACTTGATTCATTCAATTCAAAACCAACAATGTGACTTTTATGTTTGCCACTAAAATAAATCTGGAATTCATCCATAATTGAAATATTGAAGTATGTTTGAAGTGCCCTGAAAAACTGAAGTATGCCGAAAGCGCCAGCGAAATGCCTCAAGTGCTACCGCTGATTACCAAAGAGAGTTTCAGCATCATCAATTATACAGCGTGTCCTCTCCTCCGAGGTGCGCACTGAATGGACTGCGAGTTAAAATGTGATGTTCTGCTTCTCACACACAGATCCGGAGGAGAGAATGACAGAAAGCTATAATTTAGCGAGCTTTGTCTCCTCTGGAGATGTTGCATTCGGCCCAAACATGTGTTATAGATCTGTAAGACCGGTGTACTAGCAAAAGGCGTTCATAAAACATGATACTAAAAGCAGCCAAACGTGAGACATGCATGAAGAATAGAGTAGAGACGCATACAGGATAAATGCACAATATGCAGACAGGTTCATTTCAACCTGTCTTTTTCTTTATGTTTCTAGGTGAAGGTTACATTTGACATGTGCCTGATAATAACTCAATTAAGAAAACAATCGATTCGCTACTTTCGCCCATGGATCTCGCCTATAATAGGCAAAAAAGACTTCACATCTTGTCCGCCTCTTACCTTCAGCAGACCTGGAGAGCACACCGCCACACACCGGGACCGAGACACATAAAGCCTGAAGTGCTGTCAAAATAACAAACTTCAGACTCCGGCTCCCGAGGTTCATGATGCCCGGCTGAAGCGTGGACGGGACTGGCCAAAACTGTTTCACTGCAGCGCAACCATCATACAATCCAACAACAGCTGATGTGCAAGGAGTACCCCCACCCCCCGCCCCCCCCCCCCCCCCCCCCCCACCTCCCCAAAAAAATAAAATGACTTCCTGAAATATGATCGAGCGTATGAGCGGTGCTTTAGGAAATCCCGAGGACAGCTGATTCAACTCCATGCGCTTTCCCCATTCAGAGACGTCCAAGTCCAGAGCTGCCTCGCGCAACCCCCCCCCCCCCCCCCCCCCCCCCCCAAAAAAGTGAGGTAAATGAGGAGCGACCGGGGAAAACATTCACAAATAGACAACACAAGCCGCTGCTGTCTCAGTCGCCCACTGGAATGGCATCGATTCCAGGAGCAATTACTGGAGAGAAGTGTTGTCTTATGAGTGGGGACCATGTGCTTCAATGACACGCTTCGTGCTCTGCGAGGTCCTAACGCCTCCGCCAGGTCGCGTTATTAAACAAGCATCAAGCTACCGGAAATTAACAAAGCACAACATCCGGTTACAGATTTCAAAAATAAAAAACCCTATAACAATTATAATGCACTTTTGCAATACTGTTTTTACAATAAGATTAAATAAATAATAAAGAACGTACTTAACGAATACAGACTAAAATAATTAAAATGAAATGCTGTTTTAATGCTTTTTGTGTACGTCATCTCCTATGACCTATCACAGCCTGAATACCACAAGTGGACATCCCGAAGAAGCTATTATTTAGACCTTGACATAAGATTATTGATGTCAAATTACAGAAGTTCTGTACAAAGCAGAGACACGTAAACCATATGACACAAAAAAACAAACAATTCCCGGAAGGTGCAGGACGCAGAGCGCGAATCTAGCGTTTTATTTTGAAGCCAAACTTCTCCATTTCCGGCCTTCCTCTTATCCGTTTCTCAACTTGACTCAAAGGGGTTCGGTAGGCGCACACATACCGTATATTTGAATATTTCAGCCTACGCGGCCCTCACTCAGATGTTATTATGCATGCAAGTTGTTATTCAGTCAGAGCAAGCTGAAAGCATTTGTGTGTGGGAAAAAATGCCGACTTGCAAATTTAGGTGAATGTGTCAATTTAAAGAATATTTTTCAAATTTCTCTTCTTAATGCATACAGATATGCAATGTTGATTGCTGGGTAATATGTGTTTTGATATTGTCCAATGTCAAATCTCTGTGTGTGTGTGTGTGTGTGTGTGTGTGTGTGTGCTTCTGGTATCTAGCACAGGGGCTCATCGTGATGGTGGATAGTCTGTTGTCTGTGTACAGAACAGGGTGGCATGAGTTTGAAAACGTGAATATTTCAAGATATCTGAATCAATATATGAGACTCACAAGCAGCTATACTCAACTTGTCATTGAAGCACCGGTGAGATGCACTAAATAATGACTGTGCATGGACCCATATGTGGACATAGCCCATTCCAACACTGTGGCTCAGCTCAATAATGCTCTTCAGCGTGTGCCCTCTGCACTGCACCACATGGCTATCCACTTTAGGAGGGAATGCAGGCAGACAGCAGGTAGGTGTCCTGTTTTCTGAAAGCTGTTTCTCCCCTGACAGGAGAAAATGAAAGAGCAGTGTTAAAGGTGTAGTGTGCTCGCAGCATGAAGACTTCGGGTAAAGTCACAGCAGCACATCCAATTGTTGCCTAACGCCGTTTGAAATAGGAACTATAGGGTGCAAGCCCAGTGTCATAAAACCCCATTTCCTCAGAAGTCTTCTTTCAAGTTCAAATATGAAAGGAAATAAAAGACTACCGAGGAGTATTGCTCTGCATGCTGATTTCAGTGGAACCAAACATTCAGCTATAGGACGTTACAAAGAGCTGATCTTTTGCTCTTTCTACGAACCAGGATGCTTGAAGGAAGATAAGGTGCAGAGAAGAGCAGGCAGTAAAATATGAATTTGTGTTGGTGTGCTCGGACAGATAACACTCAATAATAAATCCCAACTTCTGGGAAATTATTCCATCCAACCTCTGTTATTATGTCAATGCAGTTAGGGGGAAAAACACAACTTTTCACCAGTGTCTGAAGACAAACATTTTACTGTCACATTTGGAAGAAAAGTGAACAACATATGTTGAAACAAGTCAAATATAAAATACACATGATTCAATTTAAATACAAAATAAAGTTGAAGAATTGTATTGATAGTGAAACAACACACACAGTAAATAACCTTCTTCAAGCAGCAGACATGGTTCCCAGTTGTCTTTAAGTTACTCATTTTAGAAAGACAGACACAATTATGATCCATTATTTATGATCTCCTGTCGTCCAAATACACCCACACGTGCATTGTGCTCTGTCAAGAAATAAGGTTTACAAAAACAGTCAGGCGTAATCATCTGTCGTAATCTTCTCCAAGACATCGGGGCAAATTTAGATGGATGAAACAGCTGGACTATGAAGAAACTTCAACTTAAAAGGCTAATGAGTAAAATAACAATTAAGAATAATGAAGAGCGTCTGCTCTGTTGCCTGTTATTTCAAAAATAAATATTCACTTTTGATTTATGTCCCGCTCCATCGTGTCGTGGAGAGCCACTCTGAGCACGCTCACTTTGGAGCCCACACATCTGAATCTGCAATGGCGGGCCACCGTCCATCATGAGACAAAGACGGGGACAAAGACTCAATTCAAATGGGCACTGTCCATTGACGTGGGCATTCCCAGTGAGAAGGGGTCACATTCCTCCATCTTACAGCTAATCTCTGGCCCTGAATGGTGGCAGAGCCCACTTCAGTTATAATGAGGAAGACGGCGGTTGAAGACTGTCCCGGAAGGGACTGTGAAGCATAATGAATGATTCTGTCTGACATCACATGAGATCATGTGAAAGTGGCTGCGTGAGAGGAGCTCACTCTGCATCCCATTACACCAAGCATTCTAGAAACAAAGGCAATTTGCAATCAAGTGAGAAGAAGATAACACAGATTTAAAAAAAGCATACATTACTGGTTTATATCGTACATCAAAAGGGTATCAGTCATGCGATATCTGGTTTGTGACCAAAACAGAATTTTGAGACATGATTTCATCCGTTCATTTTGGTCCATCTTGCATTTGTAATTGCATACCACAAGGGCAGCTGGGACAGCTGCGCCACGGAGACAAGCATCTGTTTTTCTCAAAAGACAAATCTGTGGCAATCTTTCAAAAAAACAACAGTAGGTCATTTAACAAAACCAAGAGCTGTTTTGAAGGTATTTCATCAAATATGCTCTGTCCTCCAAGTCCACCAATCTGTCCTAAACTGATCATCTGTTTCTTTATCCTGCACACAAAGATGGACACATTGGTGCAATTAAACTGTTTTATCAGCAGGTCATTTGTGAACTAGGTTAAAGGTGTTTTTTTAATTTTATAATTCTGCATCAAAATATTGTATTTTTTATCCAGATGGGCAGAAGAGTCTTTGATGGTTCTGAAAAAACTTCCGAAACAGAAGGTACAGTAAGCGATGTTATTAAATGACCTTGTGGGCTTTTGAAAGATTACCACAGATTTATCTCTCAGGAAAACAGATGTTAAGCTCGGTAACTTGGATAATAAGTAATGGAAATACACGAGACAAACAAAACACTGGCTGAAGGCCGGTAGAGCCGTGCCGTGGCCTACACTGATAGTTTAACTCATATTCAGCACAGCCAGAGGGTCACAGGTCACTTCATCAGTCTGTTATACAATGCGACAGGCCTTGTCATGTCATCATCTTCATCTGTCATCGGCCGTTCAGCTGTTGCTCCTTTGGAGAATCTGATCCAACAGTTTCTGCAATAAGAGAGCAAAACACTCAGATTACTAAAACACTTGGCGGCTGTAGATCATCAGTCTGGTCCACACAAAACCCACGAGGCCTTTTTTTCCAATCCAGGCGAACGCACAAAAAACGTCACATGGAAATCAAACAGTCCTGCACAGACGGAGGAGCAAAACCTCGTCCCTTCCGTCCTCTCACCCACACGTTCAGGTTTCCAGCTCCTCTTTCCAGGATCCTGCTTGATCAACTGGCATCGCACCCTCTTCTCTGTGTTATCTGCCACAGCAGCAGTGTGGCTGGAGCAGCCGTGTGTGTTTTACACCCACACTGTCTGCAGCTCGGCTGAATGGTGGCACTGCACTGTGGCTCTCTATGCCACTGAAGGGCATTTTGTTTCAATGGGAACACAGGTCTCACAAACTCTGAGCACAATGAGACCGTTCACGGTTTCGCTCCATTATGAGAGCGCAGCGGGAAAGAGAACGAACATACGATTCCTCCAGCAAATCAAACTCTGTCATGGGTAATAATTATTGATCATGTAGTAACAAAAAAAAAAGTAATAACCACCTCATGTGCAGAAAATGCATCTTTGAGATCAGCTTTTCTAGTCAAACTCCTGGGAGATGTGCAAGAAAATAGCAAAGGTTTGGCAGCAGCGACATCTAGTGGAACAATAAGTTCATTGCTCTTAAAGAGAAGGCAAAGCTCAATAAATCCTTTCACAGCAATCAGTTTAATGGGACTCATTTTAGAAATAAGCAGAAATTACATTTACATCCATTTTTCTTGTCATTGCTGCATCTCATTCCTTTGATGTTTCTTTACAGAGTTACTTACGATCGGTTCAGCAGAACTAAATCAAAGTTCACCTCAATGACAAGTTACCAAAGGTAAAAGTGCACGCTGTAAAATATTCCTATAAGTGTACAATTATTATCATCAGATCTGGGAAGATTTAATTAAAATGGAGAAACTGTAACCACACGTAAGGATGAGAATTCCTACTTCAATTGCTTCATTGGAGCACAATACGAAAGGGAATAAATCACTGTCAGACTCCCATGTATATTATTTATTGTAATATGTTATCCAGCCCGCAACTTGTCTACCTCAACAGGAGAATACCCAGAAATACACTGTGCCTCCCATCCACCCCCTTGTTATTGTCTTCCTAAGGTCGGTTTATAGATATCCTTCATCCTTCGCGTGTTCCACTCAAAGTCGTCTCAGTGAACCGTGATGGACTTGGTGGGTGATTTAAAGACTTTACTTTCCACAGTTGCACTGCCGTGAAGAGAGAAGAAGTCATTGTTTGCCATTACTGAAAAACGTTTCACCGTTTGCGAGGTTTAATTGAGCCTATCGAGGAAGGTTGTGTTATCACTTGCTTAATTGCCTGTGGGTCATATACACGATTAATGTTCTGTTCAATGTCTCAGGCAAGTTGTTAACATTGTGGCGCGCTGGTTGGAGGTTATTTGCTTTGTTCCATATTTTCAGGGATTTGATGATTCAGCTCATCATTTCTGAATATATATCTATATAACTTCCGGGAGATCAAAATAGGCATGTGTGGTGCTTAAACAACACAAGGACCAGTTTCTTTGCGCTAAGGTTCATCTTATTCTATTCAGCCCCTTAATATCAATATTTTTCTCCCTTACGTATGAAAGAAGGAATTCATGTTATTCCACGCTCCCTGTCAGTATCATGTGCTGTATGTGTAACAGGTTGCTTTAGATCTTCTCTCACTCTTTATGCTCTGCACCACTCCCTTAAAAGGAAAAAAAATTCTAAATGTCTTTTGCATCGTTCTAAACCCAAATTCAGCCTGGTTCTATTCATCTGTGTTTTGGCAAATACAGATTTAGAGATTACCTTTTTGAAAAGTTCCACTCGCTGCCTGTTGCTCAAACACACCTCCCTCTTCTTCTCCTCCTCTTTCTTCCTCTTCACCTCTGCATGCGGCCTGTAACAATATGATCAGTTTGTGCCTTTTATGAGTTGCTGGTAAAGAAAAAAATGGCAGTTTAGGGTTGATTTTGCACCACTAATCAACTACATGGAACACTATATTCTGTATAAATCCACAGTCTAACACCTTGTGAGGCCAGGACGTGAAAGAAAGAAAAAACATAATTAGAGCAAAAGTCTTGGCAGAGGAATAAAAGCAGCATAATTTGTACGGAGATATCACTGATACAGACTCTGCCTTCACACATGAAAGCAATACAAGAGATAAGGATGCATCTGATTGCAAAGAAAAGGCATCTGACAGTGGGCCAAGGTAGAGATTGAGATGTAACTCACCGCTTAGATCTCGACTGCATCTCTTTCCCAGTAATGGCTCTATCTCTGGGTTTGAAAAAGTTATCTGGAAACACACACACACACACACACACACACACACACATACTGTATATATATATACATAATTGCTGATTGAGTTGAAGGCTCTAAAGCATGGCAGTGGATCACTCAAGCTTTTCCAGGTGTTTGAGGAAACTGAAAGACTCCGCTCTTACAGAAAAGAAAGGATCGTGTTGCAATCTCCCGAAAGAACAGACAAGATCATTTTCAACAAGAGCACGCAATTCCACCGCCTCCACTCGCTTCTAAGATATTAAATCTCTCCCTTTCCAGGCTGTCATTGACTCACTGGTGTATGTTTTGATGTTGTTGCAGCCAGCAGAGGGCAGAGAGAGCTACGAATTTACTGTCACAAATCTTTAAATTCTTTATTGTTTACTGTGAAGCCTGGCACTGAAAGGAAATCTCATCAGGCAGAACATTGTGTCGAGAGCTTAATGCCATTTGAAGGTGACAGAAATATCTTTGCTGTAATCCAATGCTTGCAATCATTCTGAAACCCTATCATTCAATAGAGGAGCACTTGCATACATATATAAAGTATAAGCAATAAAGCCATTTGTTTCATACTTCAAGTGGCTTTTATTGTATTTAGTCGCAGCTTAGCCTCTCTCTCCTCTGTGCTTCTTTCCCCTCACAGTTGGCCTAAAGCTAGTTAAGATGAAAATGTATTGTTATTACATTTCAGATTCTGGCCTGTTATGTGATCCATCCTAAATATAATTTTTCTCTGTACATTTTAGTTATGTTACATTTATTCCTTTAGCTTTTCTATGCAATATCTGTAGCTTCATGGAAGTATAGAATCTGAATGATGTGTCATAGTTTGTCTAAAACTACTGCTAACTGAGAATATTGGGTTTCAGCAGAGGATTTTAGTGGATTAGCATGCCTTCGAGCTAAAAAAATAAATGTGAATATTATGTATAATTGAACAAAATGTTACCTATCAGTAGCTTAGATCCAGAAATATTGGTCTGAGCATTGAAAAACAACACGCACTGGCTGAAAACTACCCCCCTCGCTCTTTGTTCTGTGTCTGTATGTGTGTGATTATGATGTGGCAAACGGCCACTGCAGCTGCAACAGAACAATGGGCAGTTCGAGAGAGGTGAGGGTGGCTGCTGGCACCGTACCGTTCAGAGAGGTTCCCCGTCCACTGCGGGCTCTCCTCTGCCTAACAGCAGCATCCGACCGCGAGCCTACCGAATCAGCCTGATCCCTCCTCTCCTGTGCCCTTCGCTCCAGCTCTCGCAGCCTGCCCTGGGAACGACTGATGAAGTCTGGCCTGGACCTCTGCAGTGCGTCCTGCCAAAACCAGAAAAAACAGAAACATATTGCTCTTCTTGACAAAACACTTAAGCCCAACGTCCCATTTCCAACTCCCACCGCTCTAGAATACAGCTCTGGAAAACTCAAAAGCAAGTCAAAATGTGTCATTCCCTTTCGCTGACGTTGTAGTGTACTTTAACGGTTGCAAACCTGGGGGTGAAAATCTCCACAAGGGGTTAAGATGAACCTGAGTTGTTAGATAATTAACAACATAGGGATTTAAAAAAGAATTTCGGCTGCAAAAGAAAGGAATACACTGGCTGCAATACACAAAAAAGTGCAACAAATAGACATTTGGAGAATCAGATCCTAATTGTTTCATTGTTATATTGGCAAAAAGAAAATACCTCTGAACTCACCTGTAAAGAAATAGTTTTAGGTGAGCTTTCAGTTTCAAGAGTGCCATTAGGTTGGTTGTGGTGCTGGATTGTTCTTTCATCCAGATGTGACTTCACACGTTTCCCCTCATCTGTCACAACCACTGCAGAAAAAAGAAATCATTTTCGCCTGCCCTGGCTTCACGTGCCCGGGCACAATGCAACATAGCCCTCTGGGCTTGCTATGATGACATATAACTTCTTGGCATGAATCAAAACAGGCACAGTATGTAAGCACTGTGGAATTTCACTGGATCTGTATTGATTCCATCAAAGATGTAGCTCTGGAAACAAAGTGTTGAGCTCGCAACACTGTCAGTTAAAGATCAATGTTTTATAAGGTGCGAAATTAAGATTTCGTGGGAGGGGACGCGAGAAGTAATAATACCAGTATTTCCCTCAGGTGATGCAGCGGAGTCCTTCTCAGATTTGCCATTTGGTGTTTTCTTCTTGCTAAGTTGCCTTTGGAGTTTGATATTTGCGATGATGGCAGCTGCATTGAGGGCGAGCACTTCCTCTTGAGACTGATGTGAGTTGGGATCTGAAAGGCAAGAGGGCTTTGATGTGAGTGAGAAGTGAGTGAAACAGTGACACCGGCTGTTGCCGAGCTGCCATTCGGCGGTCGAGGGGTTTAAAATCATTTCATAATGTCCCGCCTAACTCGCAGGTTGACTGTATCAAACGTAGAATTTAAATTAGGCCGCCTCGGGCCTCCTAATTAATTGATGACGGTCTTAATGAAAGCGATTAAGGAATAATGAATAATTTCACACGGAGAAGAGACCACGAACGAAGAACAACTCGCTCAGCAGAAAACTCCCTCTCAATGTTACTTATTCACCTGAATAAGTAACATTGAGTGACAGGATGGCTCTACAGCGGGTGATTAAAACCACCTAGAACATCATTGGCATATACTGAGCATCAGTGATCTTAGTGAGAAAAGGAGCCTGCGAAGAGCTGAGGGGATATTAAAGACAAAACCCACCCCCGCCACAACCTGTTCACCCTGCTGCTGCCTGGAAAGAGATACTGAAGTATCAGCTGCCGAAGCACCGGACTAGTTTTTTGTTGTTGTGTGTTTTCTTTCCTATGTGGCAAATTGGGCCTACACTCTAAATTTCGTTGTGCAACCCTGCCGTACAAGGACAAATAAAAGCCCTTGTAACTAATATTCAGCATTACTAAACAACAGCTTCAAGCTGACTGTTTCAGTCCTTTTACATAATCACATGGCATTTTTGTCACATGTGAGGACGTTGTAAAAACGTCCATTCAGAACTGTGGACGGACTTGAAACTTTGACCAAATGAGTTCTTGAGACTTGGAAGACGAAAGACTATGTATCCAAAGCATTGAAAGAACTTGCATCTTGATGTGCAATTTACTTATGACGACACGAGATAAGACTTGGACTTGCCCTCAAAAGACTTAAAAACTGCTCTGCATTCAAATCATGGAGGCTAACCTCAACAGTAAAGAAATAAGATTCGACATTTTGGGTAATATGTCCGTTCACTTTCTTGCTAAAAGTTAGATCGATACCACTTTTGGATATGAGAGTATTGATCCTCTAATCTAATTCTCGATAAGAAAGCAACATAAGTCCATTTACCAAAATGTTGAACACAATTTATTAACCTTTACCTCACTTTCCTGAGTTAAACCACAGCCAGAAACCAAGCCTCGATCCCAATAGGTAGTAGGAGTCGACGTATTACCCGGAGGAAGTTATCGGTGGACATCTAATCGGTAGATCTGGATTTTGGGCCTCAGGTAATCAACGAGTCCCCACAGTGAGACTGTGTGAACAGATATTTGTCCCCATAAGATGATTACAACGAAAGAAACAAAGAATATAACAGCTACATTGCAGGATCTGGATGCCAAAATGGATTCTAACACATCCCAATGCTTTATTTTCACCATGTTTAGCAGCTTGTGATTTCTCTTCCTCCCCTGTGCTGTTGGTGAGAAGGGGGACTAGAATAGCTCATACATGCAAAGAGAGGCGTAGAAAAATGAAGGAAGGGGAAGGCAATAAAGCGCCTGTAGGTACCAACGGGGCCTCTGAATCCGGGTAGTGCTATTTGACATCGGCACAGACAAGCATGAGTGTCAGTTGCACTCAAGGCAACAGCTAATGGAGTCATCTGAATACAATCTCATAACGCCTATCAATAAGACATCTAAGTTGAAGGACAGTATCAAACCGGAGAGTTTGGCTCCAGAGTGCTGCGGTTTGTGTAATAACTTCAAGCTAGGACACGCAAATGGCACAAAGGAGGTGTATATTTAGACATCGCCATCCTTTGAAAACGGAGATCAGAGACAAATGGAGCCTGTGTGCTGACAGGAAGACAGTCAGAGTGGGACAGAGAAGACCTACCCGGGGCCTTGATGAGAGTTAGACATGAGGACGCTCTCCTCAACGCATTCTCTGGCGGCAACCTTTCTTGCTGGCCTCCGTTTGGCTTAGGGGTGTCTGCCACTAGGTGACCCGCTTCTTCCACTGCTGTTTGACGGCTGACAAAACTACTGCTGGAGTTCACCGGGTTGATATTGGCCCCCTGTGGGAGCCCAAAGCTCCATTTCCTGGCCGCTGGTTGTGTCACGTTCTCCCTGCTTGGCTCTGTGTGTCCAAACATATTGCCATAGCAGCTCAGCGGTCTGTGCGGCCTGTCCAATCTCTGTCCAACCGCCTTTGGAGAAACCTCTGAGGGTTTGGCCGCTGCTATAGCAGGGGGGCTGCTCACAGAAAGACTCAGCGTGGATCGGTGCAGTGTACCATCGTTTTTTCCTGGGTCCAAAGTGGGTGTGTGTGGTGCTACAGCAGAGTTTGGCCTCTTTGTGGAATCCAGATGGAGATGTGAAGGTGCTGCACTGTGTTGTGAATGTTTACCCTCACTCCACGTGCTGTTTTTGTTGTACACCCCCTCTGTGTAGCTGTGTCTGTACTCTGGGTGCCTCGTCCCAGACCTTTCCTTGGCTGGACTGTAGCTCTCCCTGTGCTCTGTCACTTTGATGATGGTAGCCTTTCTTCTGTGGACCACTGTGTCCAAAGCATGGCTGGCCGGCGGGGTCCCCGCGTTTTTTGTGCTCGAGAAAGGGCTGGACAATGTCCTTTGCTCTGTCACTTTAAGGACAGTGGCCTTCCTCTGCACCGTCACCTGCCTGGAGTTTGGGTCCATGGACGGAGAACTGGATTCACCGGAGTGGTTGCAGGCGCCGGAGCCAGGCAAACTGGCCGATCTGCTCACTTTCCTGGAGGAGATGGTGATGGAGGAGAAGCCGGCTTTGTTCTGAGGGATGAGCGTAGTCACGGCAGAGTTTGTCTGTATGTGTGAAGGCTGTGAGCCGCTGTTTGCTCTACACAGCGGGACTGTTGCCCTTATAGGCTGAACACCGCCTGTCCTGTGCAAAGGCGTTTGTGACTTGTTCGTATCTGTGCTGTTTCTCAGGCGATCAGCACAAGTTGTTTGATGAGCAGGAGCGTGCTTGAGGGGGACCGTGCTGGTTGTTTTCATCTGAGAGGACCTGTTGGGGACTGAGCTGGTCCCGGTGGGGAGCACATTGGATTGACTGCCTCCAGGGAAAACTGGCACCCTGTTGGTATTCCAGCATCTCCTCAGAGCTTGAAAGCCTCCAGGTCGGTCCTCTTCGTTAGCAGGAAAGCTCAGTTTTTCTGGCACCTACAGCATGTGGATGAAAGAGATTCTCTGTGATAAAGATCCTTAATTACACATCGAAACCCCATCCCACCCTTCTGTTGTTGCTAATGTCTCCTGCTAAATGTTTTGTCATTAATCAACACAATAAAACATATGCTGTGGGTTCATCTCGCCAATTTGAGCCCCCGTGTTCAAGTGGCAAATACAGAAAATGAAGCATAACACGTATATCAACAATACGACATCTCTCTAATATTACATTTCAACAGCGGGATCAGCTGTCTATTCCTTCAGGGCTTTGCTGTTTGTTCTTTAGTCAGATGACTCTCCCCGTGCTTGACACAGCCCCAGCAGCAATAGAAGCAGCAGCAGGAAGAGGCAGCACACAGCGTGACTTATCCCTCACACATTCACAATGAGACTCTATCCTCAATAGGAACTGAGAGGCAAGAAAAAGCAAAGATTCTGGTCCTTGGCCCAGAGGAGTCTGATGGTTTTTTATGGAGCATGGAGAAATGCTGATATGACCCTGTTGTTGTACTCCCCAGCAGGGGTCATGAGGTGACATACCGCCCTGATCCCTCGTTTATTAATGCTGCATAAACCTAATTTCTAAACAAAGTATGTGATTTAGCCATTTGCACTTCTGTAACACCTTGTGGCTGTCGACAATATACTTTTCATCAAAGAGAGTTAAACTGCGACGAAGAAAGTAGTACAGTAGTGAATAATTATATAGATACCTACTGTATAGTCATTCCTCATATGATGATAAAATGCACATTAAATAACTTCTGATTATGGCAATTAGACAGGGTTGATTATGGCTGCAGACAATCTGGTCCACTTAAATCTTGTAAAAAGACATTTTTTGTCTAATGATGTCTAATATGTCTAATGTCTAATTTGGCAATGCTTTGGATAAATGCTGCAGCACACAGACAGAACACATACACTGACATCTGTGCTGGTAATGGTCCATAAAGCAAAGATGTCATCATCAAGTTGCCTTTGTGTTGATCATAAGTCATTTATTTTTTTGTTTTTTTTATTTCAGTGACTGTCCTGCATTCTGATGAGGCACCAAAGCTTTGAGCTGCTATATTTTTTACTCTAAATTGTTGAGCCACTTTTTCAAGTTCCATAGAGGATCTTTAATTTAGTTTTCTAAAGTTAAATTCCACCAGTACGTTTTTAATCTTTGATCCCATGAACTGCGTATGAACTGTCGCGAATGAGTGTCGGTTCCCTCATCTTTTAAAGGGATGGATTGCAGCTCTACATTTATCATATTTAGAAATAAGCGACGGTGGCCTAAGCATCAGAAAGCACAACAGTAGCATAACACTAGGATTAGAAGACCCCAGGCAGACATAGAATTCACTCCCAGACACAAAGGCCCACTGACATCCATCATCTCCTGAGCTCAAGTGAAAAACAATCCTACGAGAGGTGTTATCAGTTACCTGATTAATATGGGTAGAGTCTTGATCAGGTGTCTGCCACGTCTTCACACCCAAAGCATTCGGACTGGTGTGACTTTTCTCCACCTCTCCATCTATGTGTAAAGGCAAAACAAATGATCCACTGTCACACTCGTCACAAGACTTTCTCTTCTACACACACACACACACACACACAACTCAGGCGTTCCTCTGAGTGTGTGGCAATGTTGACACTGTCAATAATTGACGTTGGCACAGTAAAGTGAATCTAGCACCACCCCAGAGCCACTTCTCTGCTTCCTCAGGGAGGCGTATAGCAGCTCGACTGGTCTGCCTCTCAGCCCTGACTGATACTCTATATTGCCATCCTGACTGCCTGCCTGGCTGCATTTCCACCTGCTGCTGTTACCATGGCGACCGGCTCTCACATTGGGATAACCCCTTGAATGCTGTGTGGATAATCCGCCGGTGTTTTCTATTTTTTTCCTCTCACTTTGACGGAGAAAGCGAGGGACAGGGTGAAAATTGCACCACTTTGCAAATGTGATTACGCCTGAAAAAACAAAGAATTGTCTTCAGAGGTGCCACAACGGCTGTTTCTGACACCTGCTGCCATCACTATATGTGTCATTTCTTTCTCTTTAAAGGGCCCCAACACCAACTTGTGACCCCCCCCCCTGGAAGAGCTTCTCTCATTACCTCCACTACCTCAGCTCAAATGACCATTTTGTTCCGAATCGACAGCAGCTTAATATTCAGGAGGAAAAAAAAGAAGAATGGCCGGCCATAAGGCACCCCCCCCCCCCCCCAATTCATTCCTCATCCTCATGAGTTTTATCTAGTAGTTGTGTGAGCCGGGTGGAAAGTGGCCAGTCTGTCTCAACACGAAGGCCCTTGGAACACAAGATCCAATTTTATTATCATTTTCTCATTAACATCAGGCCGTTTCATGTTTGCTAAATGTGACGTGTGTGGTGGGAGAGGGCACTAAGTGTCTGCAATAAGACCTCGGGTCGGATTAAAAGTACTTCTGCAAGGGTTGTCAGCAACAACCAGAAGGAGAGAGAGAGAGAGAAAAAGAATGAGGAAGAGGTGGGATGATTTGCCAGCCGGAGTGTAACCGAGTCAGTTCTTGTTGGAATAATTGCAGATGGAATATCTGATAGTTTCATTTGGTTTTGGATGTGGACTCGTTGATTTAAATGTTGTGACAGCTGAGCAAAAGCAACCGGCATCGAAAAACAAGACACATTTGGATGCAGTCCTGCATAACGATTCTTGTTTCTTGTTCTTCATCTTCACCTCATTGCTGGGATTGCAGCCGTGGCCAATTTGTTGTGTGCATGCACCTGCATATAATTATTATTCACTGTGAAGTAACTAAAAATATGAATATTTATGCCTATATTTGATTGACTACTAACCCATTTATGATCTAAGAGCATTCACTGGAGAAATATTGTATCAACACAGCCTGTGCATGTGGCTTTTAACTAACTAGTGTGTATGACGTTAATAAGGTTTACGTTGCTTAAAACACCTGCACTTTCTGTCAAAGTTCCCTGCTGCCATGGATGGATTGCTTTGATTTCTGCGAGCAGCCCGAGCCGTGCCAATGTAATCTATGCATAAACAAGGACGGGGCTGAAAGATCAAACCTCAGATCAAACCCAGTGAGTGTGGGGCTGCCATGTTCAAAGATTAACAGGGCTGCTTCTCCAATCATTCTGCCTCCTCCTCATCTTCTCTTTTCAACACCTTTTTTTTTTAAACAGTGCCTGTTTCTTTTACCTCCAATCCTGCCAGGACACTGTGGCACAACAGCCGGGACCAGCTGTACATGAACTTGACTTTGTTTCGGGGGGGGGGGGGGGGTCTAAAGTGTTCGTACAGTCAGTCAGTGTGGAGCGTTTGAAAGAGGACAGGAGCAGCACTGCTGCAAGGAGCTGATTAGAGGCAGGTAAACTGTGTGGCAACTCAGCCCTGAAATAAGCTTTTGTTCTCTCTCCAGCTAACCCGGCCCCTGCAGTTACCCCATGGCCATATTTGTTCTGGCAGTGATCAGGCACTAAACATCACTTGAAACGGAACCTTTGTGTGTTTCGGGGAATTTTCTGTTGTGCAAGACAGTTACTTCATGTTTTAAAATTTGGTTTGGTCTCACTTTTAAGGTGCAACTCTCGGATATTTTGAAGTTAGTGACGTTTTTGGCGGGTTTTCCAGTTATTTTGAGCCCAATCACAATGTTACTCCTCAACTTAAGTGGTTTTGTTGCCTAAACCTCGGCCCGTGTTTCTGTTTGAATTCACAGCGATGTTAATAGTGCTGTGCTAACCATTGCGTTAGACAGTGACGCCGAGGGCTCTGACAAAGAGCATGTGACCGGTTGAAATGAGAATGTGTTGAAGGCTACATACCCTGGTGCATGTTGGCTGTTCGATTCTTCTGAAATGTTGGAGTGATGGCTTGTTTCAGTTTCACCTGTAAACAAAAAAGAGCCCATTATAGAGTACACAAAAATATATTTATATATCTGATTGTAACACTCCGTTAGAAAGAAAATACTATCAACATGTTTTTAGGAATAAAATGTTCTATCAGAAAGACTATGAAAGAAATATGAACCATCCTCCAGAATATAAATAAGAATGAAAGCGGAAAAAAGTTTGATGTATGTTAGTGCTACTGAAGTGAAGATTTCTGGCTCAGGGTTTGAGAAAAAGCTCATTTTCTTTCCACTCGTCTAAAAGAACACAAATTATGGAGAAGCTGTGTCTCCCCTTAAACCCTTATGAAACTATCTAACTAGCCATTTCCCTTGTTTACAGTGTTCGTGCTAAGCTAAGCTAGCCTAGCGTAGAGCCATGCGTGGTTTCTATCACCTACCTCTCGGCACAGAAAGCGATAGCCTATATCCCCAGAATTTCAAAATATTCCTTTCGGCATAATCCCTCAGAAAGGTCTCATTAAATATCCTTTTTGTATTTAAGTTACTGTAGTGAAAATACACCAAAAATCTCAACACTGACTTCAGATAATATTCTTTTTTCAGTGATTAATTTTGCATCAGTTCAGTCTGATGCACAAAGCACATCAGTCAGACCAGAATATCTGGTACAGCACAGCAATTTATAGATTTTTGAAGTCAAATCATCAGTTCAGTTGATAATACTTCCATTGAATTGTCTCTGTACATTGACTTGCATCCTCTCAGGGCACAATGCTCAATCTCTGCCGTCACAGCTCCAAATGAGTCGTAAACCTTTCGAGAATGCGTGGAGTTCCTGCCGAGTAAGCTGTTTTCAAAGGATGCCGGAGCTCTGCCTTCTCCCTGGGTAACTGAGACTCGACTGCAAATGACTCTCTGTGGCCCTATGCGTTTCAGACTGCCTTGCCTTGCCTGGCACTACGCACCATCGCCTCCATTACACAGCACTTTACCTTCAGACTTGCGGGGCTTACACTGTCTCACTAACATCTCAGAATAGCAGCCTGAGAGACAGCCAGTGCCAAATCCAGGGTAAATCAGTGCAGCATCTTTCCAAAGGCCTGTTTTAAAAGGTTGATACCCTAAATACAAAATGTTTTTCTATGGGGTTTCTGTGAGAGATTAATTCTCACTGCTCCAAAGTAAATCTCCTCTAAGTGTACGGAGGCCTGCCAAAATGAACTGGGTAGCTTTGTTTCAGCAGGTAAAGAATGTAACCGTTTCTCTAAGTTCTTGAAATATTGCTCATCTAAATGTAAAGAAATCCAGAAACGTCTTTAGCATCAGAAAAAAACTTTCTGATATGCTTGAGGCTTTTTGAGGTGTTATGTGTTTTACCTGGCCAGCAGAGTGGTCCGAAGACTGGTTTTGGTTACAAGCACCGCCCACCATCATGACTCTTCTTTGGATTGGCAGCCAGCCGATTTTGACTGGAGCCATACTACTGAGTTGAGCCTGCTCCTTCCTTGGGGTCTGCATCATTTGAACTCTCTCCCAGCTTCCTCTACGCTCTGGAGGAGAAAATAATCCCGTTTGGAGGGACTCCTGGCTGCCCAGCGAGCTCTCACACAGGCTGGGACTCCCACACGAAGACGAGGCCTTGCTGTAGGAGGGGACCTCCGGCTGTCTCCAGACAGGTCCGCTTGGCTCTTTGTCGAGAGCAGGCATGGATGTCGTCCAATCACTGAAAGCCGGAGCCTGACCGTGACATGGGGCTCTGAGAAGTTCGCTCTCTATCCTCTGCAGGTGCTCCAGCCATCCGTCCAGCTGGCGTCCTCCTTCGATGGCACTCTGGGGCCGAGGTGCACGTTGGGGAGGAGAAACGCGGGGCAAAACCTCCCCTTCTGGTATCAAGCTCTCCCAGTAGGACTCATCTCCCGATCTCCTCCAGCTCGGGGCTCTCCGTAGGTGGGCAGCTGGCCTGCGGAGAGTCATCCCTCTGGAGCTCAGGTAAACACTCACTGCTCTCGGGTTTCAGGCCACAATAGAAGCCCTTTACAGAGGAGGTATCAATGAGACTCCCCTGGCTCGACTGGACTTCTTACCATGAGGCATGCCAGAGATGCACTGCAAGGAATTAGTAGCTATAAGAATGCTGGAGGCTGTGGATGTCACAGATCTGTCACGAGAAGGTATCAGAATACAGATGAGAATTAGAAATAGGTGCAAATAATTCCAGATTATAAGTACATTACTTCAATTTCCATGCTTTTATTACATCACTGTTACTTACTGAAACACCCCTTTTCACTTGCATCCAACTCCTCACTCCTTGGAAGTAAACCCTGTGTTGATATGAACTAGGTTCTGGTGAGTACCGTCTCCAGTGAGGCCTGTAGCAATGTGAAGGATGCTTTGCCCAACAAAAGAGTTACTGAGGGCTGAACATCCAATGCAGAGAGGGAGATGGAAAGAGACAGAGGGGTGGGCGGGCCGAAAGAAAAAAAAAAACACTTGTTGATGCAATGCTTGACGTAACAGGATCTCCATTTAAACAAAGAGCACCATTAACATTCAGCATCGTAATCAACAAACTGTCTAATTTAGGGTTTATGCGTGTCAGACACACCACCCGATGTTTAAAATTACGAATCAAACTTCCTGACATTCAGGCATCCTCACAAATGACAGAGCATCACTAATGAGCAGTTATCCACGTTATTCCACGAGTCACTTACTGCTTCAGAAATCCTCCTCGGTGAATTCCCCCCTGTCTCTGCTCTTCCTTGTGATCTCGTGGTTAACGGCTGATGATGAGGCGCTGCTGTCCTCAAGCCTCTAACCGAGCCATGTGACATTTGCAAGACTGTCTTCAAAATGGAAAAAAAAGTGTCCTCTTGGATAAGTAGCCGTGACCCACGTGATGTCCCACAATGCATGAGTGAAGGGTGTTTCTAAAGACAAGGCAGGATTCTGTTTTTAGCTTTTATTTAGAGGCAGTTGAACACAGATGTTCAAAGATACAACTTCTTCCAAAAAAAAAAAGAATTGCCAGCTGCTTGGATGTTTAATGAATTTCTCAGCGGATTAGCAGTCCCCAGATGTCCTTCAAAGCAGCTTAACGTCCCTCTCGGTGGTATAACATTTTCCAATCGTCTTTCAAAGACAGAGATAACACAGAGATATCATAAATTACTGTGACCTGCTCCAACACACCTTTTCAAGCTGAGAAGCCTACACGCAGAAGGAATATGCAATGGCGTCAAGCAGTTTGTAATCTTTTGTCTGATAACCCAATTGAGTTAGGACAGATTTAAACAAGGTTCAAAAGATGTAGGTTATTGGCTGTGAGAATAAGTGTGAAAGCGACCTCGCCCTCTGCTGGGGACACTCCAACATGACAAGTGGAGAAAGGGAGAGCAAAGGAGAGAGAGGTCATGGGTTTTGAGAGACTTCTCTGAAAGATGTGATGCAACCATAGGATGGATGCAGCATTTGTGCAAACATGAGGAATTAAGATGAGCGGATTCAAATGTGTGCACCAGGTGCATCCCCCCTGATGTCTTTCATTTAGCACCTGCAGCTCTGAGGAACAGCTCTTATTAGTTCAACACATCACAGCTCAGGATAACAGGCTGGCTTTGGCTCCTGTAGCTTCACCATTAAGCACAGAGGAGGAAGGACATGGACAAAGACCGAATACATTCTCATTCTGTGGTTGAACCAATCAGAGGAACAATCTCTGTGTGTTTTATCACCATATCAAAGATCACAGTAGGAATACTGTAATATGCTTTTATTATTGATAGGATTGAAGTTAAAACTGTGTGTGAGGGGTTAGTTACTATGTATTTATTTCAAGCTGAGTAAAGCAGGGACATTGACAACCACAACAGTTATATTATGCCTGTGAATACATAAAAAGTAATTTTGTCCGAATGATAACTAATTGTAGGCGAAGTTAATGCACCACATTCAATCACCAACTTACTTTTTACTTATTTTACTTATTCATGTGCTGTCTCTTCTTTGTGTGTGTTTACCATTGCTATAGTAGTATTAGTGTGTATATATATTTTTTTTTTAAATCCCACACACTATTGAATCTGTGTTCTTTGTTTTGGATCTGTGTTTTGTGTATTGTGTATATACCAACTCATTTTTAAGTTTTTTTCAACTGAACAGTACCCTAAAACTTTTCGTAAGCTTATTCTAAAAGTGATGTAACTATATGAATAAAAAAAACATATAAGAGCATGAATAATTATCTGGGAAACATATGTTTTAGAGGAAAATGACCGGTCGAAGGTCTCAAAGTGTATCCACCGGTTTATTTTCCCCCATGTCATTTTTACAATAATACGCTCCTGCAGATTAAAAACCAACAACTCATTCTAAACTTTTCCTCAGTCATGTGGCAGTTTGCGTCTCAGCACAACACAGCAGTGAAAGTTTAGCGGGACTCCTGCAGCATGAACGCCTACAGGCTGAAAAAGTTGTGTTCCCTTCCTCCACCTTGCGGAGCGTCCTGTCACTGGTGGAAAATGGCTGCTCGGAGTGGCTCCCCAAAGCTCAGAGAAAACTGAAGAAAAAAAAGAAAGTCTACGTTCACTACGAGAGGTCACACCTGGACCGTTTTCTACGCGGCAACTGCGGGGAAGCCTCGACGCGGAGAATGTCTCGCTGGGTGCCCACCAAAAGGGAAAAGTATGGCGTTGGTACGTAAAATAAACTTGCACGCTCCATCGCTAGCTCGTCCTAGCTCTCTGCTCTCTGGCTGCACAAGTTTGGAAAAGGGTTGTGAGTAGAAGGAAAAAAAAAAAAAAGAAGCTACCCCGGCTGTGTTGTTTCTCGTGCGACATTTGTTTTGCTACAAAGTTGCCTGTTGCTGTGTGAAATCTCACGTGCCGGGGGGGAAAATTGGTTTGCTGGGATTTGCGTGAGACGCCAAAACAAGGAATGTCTGTCTATTGTGTGTGTGTGTGTGTGTGTGTGTGGATTGGAATTGTTAGAGGCGCGCCTAGTTGTAGCGCTGTTTCCTGTGTTAAGGGGGCCTCCGCTGCTCGCTACTTTACGGACTTCTCCGCATAACTTGTATCTTTTTAGTTTGATGGTTGTTTGTGTTAACTCCTCCCGTCTTCTAAGCGGGGAAAGCCTTTCGTCCTTTGTGGTTGTTGTATTTTGTCACTTCCTCAACTGCTCCGAAACCAGGAACCCTGTCCTGAGAACACTGTTTCCGTTTAGCTTCCAGTATCTCCTGTAGCACTCCGAATAAACCACCACACACAAGTATCTGCAGCTTTCATTGTGACTTCAATTAGAACAACACCACAGGGCCAACATTTAATCTGTCTGCCACTGCAAAACAGACATGAATATTTATTGTGTTTTAATAACTCACTTTACTGACAGCTGGTTAAATAGGCTACAGTTATAGCATAGAGTGTAGCACTTTCCTGCAGATGCTGATGAACCATTTCATCTCAAGGACTGGATGTAAATTGACAAATTGTGGTCTGTTCGTTCACTTGGAGCGTTGGATGTAATGTTTTGAATACATTTCCATAACTGTTTACACAGCAGATAATACACATGTTGGTGATTGAGAGAGTTGAGAGTTGATGGATCGTCCATAAAGGAGCTGGAGTCTGCCTCATAAACCACTCTGATGGAGGCGAGATGGCCAGAAACCTTTTTAAAGCATGGTGTATTGGAGAGGATTTGCATGATTTGTTTACCTTATAGATGGACTTGTGTATGGGTAGTGTGAAATACGAGAGTAACACGGTTAAGCATGCACTGTGCTTGAGTACCTGAAATAATGATGGGATGGATCTTACCCTGATTATTTATTTTTTCCTCCAGAAAAAGCAGTTTTTACCACAATGGATTGTTATTTTTAAACGTGTGCAAATGTACCCTGCCGCATGCATGCTGCTACCATTCGCGGCAGTGAGACGGATGATGATGCTGATTGCTGGACGAGTTCACCAGGTTACACCAAAGCCCCGATTGTCATCTCGGACTACATCTTCCAAATGAGCGCTGTTGTTTGCGGTCCACTCTGCTGTATGAGCCAGTGGTGTCTTGAGCAGATATGGTTGGCTGTGGTTTACATTAGTGTGTGTGAGAGTGTGAGAGAGAGAGAGAGAGAGAACAGTATGCCACTCTGATGCTAATGATTGCCTGGGTATATTCTCAAATATCCATGAGGTTTCAAGAATTCTTACGGGGGCTCACCGAATGCAAGACTGGACGAGTCATTAGTAGAAAGAAGAGCTGCTGCAGAGGACTGATGGGGTGCACGGCCATTGCACTTTTAATACTGTATGTTTTGACCAAGTAGCAGTAATGAGCGCTCTATGAGACCTCTTATGCTCACTGTGGACCTATTCCTCTTCCAGCAAAACTTTTGTCATACCATTTACTGCTCTCATAATGGCCCCATGGCTTTATTAGTGTATGTAGGAAAACTGTCTCCTTTTAGTCTTTTCACAGCAGTATTAATAATAAATGTCTTCTGACATAGAGCAAAGCAGTGATAATAAAGGGCTTTGTTATCATCCCGGCAGATCCACACGACAGTGGATGAGTGTGGAAGCAAGGCTTTGCCCTGCATTGCTCGCTCCCAACAACCAATATTGGAAATTGAACCTTATTAGATTTGTGTCGCAGTAATAACTGCAAAAATAACAACACAAATCCATGAAATATTCATGGTTTTGGTTGTCTCCTCTTTTTTGCTGCATTTTGTAGCTCTGCTGGTCGTTATTATCATATATAATATTATCATCTTTGATTTTATCGTAACCTCTTGATTATGGCTGTGCTGATACTTCTGTCCTTCTACTTACACTAAATTATACTCTCAGATGGTTTTATTGTTATTTTCTGAATGATTCTTCCATCACTGGTATGCAAACATCTGTGTAAGACTGAACAAGGTTTGCTATGTGAGCGAGCACCTTGACTTGAGGCTACACTCTTTATTGCTTTATTACATTGTTTCTCCGGATCATTGTAACCCCTGAGGCTGTAGCTCAGGGTCCCTTCTCCAAACAATGTCTTCACTTCCACCGGCATGTTCAGAATGCTGCCCAATCAGCCCAGATTTAAATCGGCTGATCTGGTGAATTGGCATTCATCGTTATTCATGAGGCACAGAAAGGATTATTGACCAACTTTGAATGGAAGTCGAAGGTTTTGGGATCAGGGCCCAACTTCGGTCTTTGACGCGTCGCGTGAAAGAGGAGTAAGGCGATCCATTCCTCAAACACTAAATATTAAAATCATCGCTCTCTCTTGACCTTAAGTTAATTTCACAACACAGTTATTTTCTTGTCAAATGCCAGCCAGCTCGGCGATCTTTTAAAGCCTAGTTTTTCTTGTGGCATCTCGAAAGTGATTTAACAGGGCCTCTGGGAAATGTTTCCTGGCTGTCTCTCGGTTGAGTGATGAATTAACCAGAAATACGTTTTGATGCGAATTTCAAGTGTTTGTCTCATTAATGCTGTTTCATCAGGATGTTGCTGTTCCTTAAGAGAGACTTCAGAGGGGTTGTGGCCCTGGAAAGAAACGCAGGGAACACTAAGCAACAGGACTGTTTACTGTATCTACACGCCGCTGTGTTGAGACTCAAACAGTGAGCGCTGGCCGTCAGAAGACATGTCTTCCGCCTCTCAATGCGTTTCCCTTTTGTAATCTACCTTTTTCAGTAATCTAGCATAGCTCAGAACATGATTGTACAAAATACATGTGGACATGTGGCAGACCCCAGACAGCTCTCATTTGGAACAGGTTAGCGGTGAGTGACACATTGGGAGCAGAAAATAGAGACGCAGTGACTTCGTCTCTTGACTA